ATATATATATATATATGACGCTACATGAAACTTTGGCATATGTGACAGAAAGATGTGGAAATGATTAGTGTCAGACCTCCAAGGCTGCCAGACAGGTTGCCAATATCAGCAAACGGATCCAAGGTGTTTGGCTTGGTTTGGTGGGTGGGGGTGCTGTGGACTGAGCCTGTGGGACTAGTTGTAGCTGATCGACTGTCCATTCCAAAACCTGCCCCTAAATTATTCAACAAGAAAAGGTATCTGATTATCATTCATAGTGTGTGTGAGAGAGAGACTGTGTGTGTGAGAGAGTACCAGTGTTTGTGGTAGCAGGCCTGTTCCAGTCCCATCCTCCCATGGCGTTTTGCTGCTGAATGTTGACAGTCGGAGTGCTGGGTGGGACGGGGGAACTTCGACCTGTTTAATCACACAGAAACTGGTCACAGGGAGAACACTCAGGGAATGTGAACTGTGTGACATGAACCCAGATAACCAGAGACAACAACAAGAGTTCTGTTGTTACGCTGCTGCAGCGTCTGATTTTAGGTTTTTGAAACAAACAGGTTTWGTTTTATTTTTAAAACGTGGCAAATTCTTTCTACAGGTTTTCAGTTCAGGTCAAGCTATCTTAATGGAATGCAGAATGGATTATGCAGAGACTAAAATGTTTAGATGATTCAAAGCTGCAATTTCACACAGGTCATGCAAAACATACAAAAAGCAGCAATAAAACAATTAAGTGGGTCATAGCTGGGAATAAATTACATTCATTTATTATTCTTTTAAAGCAACATTTTATTTTGAATCTTGAACAAATCAGAGACAATATGTGACCCATCACATCGAAACAAGGATTAAGTCTAAAAGTGGGATATGGAGAAATAGGCAAATATAGTGTTTTGATTAAAACACTTACAAAGATTGCATTTCGTAAAAATGTAACAAATAAATGCCTTATCAAAGTTTCATTTAAATGAACTGTCTGAAATATAATCATTAAAAAATGTTTTGAAGCACTTTTTTGAGCGGTAGCAACAAAAAAACTGATTTTGAGGAAAAACGCTTTTAAATTTTGAGATATTGCCTGTGAGCTATCCAAGCTTTTGTTCCTTTACAGCTGGGAAATGTTAATATTCAAATACTATTTGAGATTTCCTCTTCATAATGATATGAAAAAGTCCTCATTAAAATTACATAAAATTAGGTTTCAGACAAAATATAAATATATTATTGTAACCAACAAGACAAATTAAGTC